TTTTATTATATTAAATTAAATTGTAAATTAAATTTATATTATTTGTTAAAATATGAATATTAATTTAATTAATATTTAATTCATAATTAGTTACGAAGGCAACATTTCAACATTTAAATTTTTTATCTAATATTTATATTTTATTTCAGCTGTATTTCAATTCAGTTTTCATTTTGATTTTAGTTGAATTTTTTGTCATTTTATGTGCTTTTGTCATTTTTATTAGTTTTTTTTAATATATCTAAATCCTTTTAAGTTATTTCAGTTTTACTTTTATTTCAGTTAGTAATTTTTGTACTTCAACTTGTTGCAAAGGAAACATTTCAACATTTTCATTTTATGTTTTTCATCTAATATTTTATTTTATGTCAGCTTTGTTTAAATTATTCAGTTTTCATTTTGATTTCAGTTGAAATTTTAGTCATTTTATGTGCTATTGTCATTTTTGTTAGTTTTTAAAAATATTTTTACATTTATATTTCAATTTGTTTTATTTCAGTTATTAATATTCATAGTCATACTAATAACTTAAACTTATTTCAAAATGTTCTTGTAGTTTAAGTGTTTAATCAAATATTTATATTTCATTTTTATATGTTAAAAAATAGATTAATATATATATTTATTAAATAAATATTAAAATAAATTTATTTTGCAGTTACTGAAATGATTTTTGTGTTCATCCATAATTTTACGGATCTGTATTTTTTCCTCTGTCTTCCTGCAGGTCGTGTGCGAACAAGACGACAGAGTTCAGAGACGGCAGCTGGGGGCGGAGCTTCTGTGACAGACAGCAGGGGGCGGAGCCGAGCCAAAGCTGTGCCCCAATCACAACGTGAGTTTGCCGTTACATCATCCTGTTCAGCTGTCCTGCTCTGGCCCACAAATTAGATCAGGATTTATGCCTGTCAATCAAATATCTTCACAGAGAAATGATAGACAATTAAAGAAATAAATAAATAAATTGCGAACATTCATTGTTTGTGTTTAGGTGAGTAAATGATGGCAGTGTTTTCATTTTGGGGTGAACTGTCCCTTTAAATAAATGGTAAACCTTGGTCAATAGATGTACAGTATGCTTTAATATCATTGGCTGCAGTGTAATTTACATTATACTTCAGTATAATGTGGCTCTCGTGTGTTTTCGGTTGACGTCCCTCTTAACGAAGACATATGAACTCCATCTGTCTTCTTGTGCCGCCTCGTAAACATCAGCATGCTTTAGATCAGCGGTAGTTCATGCTGATGCATGGACTCATGGGTAATGTAGTTTCTCTTCACTGTCCCGCGTCAAGGATCCAGATCGGCTAATCCGGTGGGGGGTAAAACTCACGGTACGGAGTAAAACACGGATTGACGTCTGCATGCGTCCCGTCATGAAAGCATGATCCACTGTACTGCTGCGATTGATTCCCGCTGTGTTATTAGTATGATTTTGCTAATTATTTATAATTTATCTCTGTTTTTGTCAAAGTCCCTTTACGGCGAATCGGTTTACTCGGTGTCACTCTTGCTAACGGCTTTGGTTAGTTATTTCCAGCCAGTTTCGTTATCATTCACTTATAATAAAACTATAAAGAAATTTTTTTTTTTAAATAAAACTAAAATAAAATTACAATATTTAAAAAAATTAATACAAATTTTTGAAATAATTAATTAATAAGTTTAATAAGTAATTAATAAGTTGAAGTTGAAGTACAAAAATTACTAACTGAAATAAAACTAAAACTGAAATAAGAATAAATTAAAATTAAAATATATAAAAAAAAATGACAAAAGCACATAACACAATTACTAAAGATTAAGCCAAAACGTAAAAATAATGTAAAAAAAAATAATGCTAATAATAAAACAAATTAAAAATATTTAAAAATATATATATATAAAAAAACAAACATTTACAAAAAAAGGCAAAAGCTCGTAACACAATTACTACAACTGAATAATATTTAAAATTTTAGAAATAAATTAAATCTATTTAGAAATATTCAAAAAAGAAAACTAAAAAAACGGACAAAAGCACATAACACAATTGCTAAAAATGAAGCCAACACTGAAAAAAATAATGTAAAAATTAAAACATTTAAAAATAAATTAAAACCGTTTTGAAATGTTTAAAAAACACAATACACAAATAACACAATTACTAAAAACTAAGCTAAAACGGAAAAATAACAAAAATAAAACATTTTAAAAATAAATAAAATATTTTCAGGCTGTAACAACAAACCCTATTTTGTAAAGGATCTCTTAAATGAATTCATAATGTAATGATAAACTGAACAAAAGCTTGCCGTATTAAGTGTGATATTTTCTCCATTTATCAATGTACGAGTGGACGGTTTCTGCCTCGCACAGCCTCTGTTTTTGTGTCTGATGCATGTGCTTCTCCCATCCCCTTTTGTTGATGTACTCTAGACATATACAGTATTTACAGTAACACTGACATTCAATCAAGTCACCAAATTATATATGTCTGTGTTCTAGCGGGCAGCCGCTCTAGTTCACCCGGGAAGCTCTTGACTTGTTCTTCCGGGAGAATCCCTCGATCCGCCGGATCCGCTCGAGCGCCGGCAGACAGATGCAGTAAGATCCCGCGCAGTCAAGGCTGCAGCCGAGAGACGAGCCCCAGCCGAGCACGAGACGGTGAGACATTTACATCTGTTCACCTTCTCATCCAATGCAACGTAACACTGTTCATACTGCATAGAAACGGCTGTAAGAAACATGTCGCAATGCTCATGAAATGTTTTTAAATTCAAGCTTCAAATAGTGAAACTGTTGCATTGAGGAGGGAGAAAATGAACAAAACTGGAGCTTTAAAGCCGCATTTACACGGTCACCCTATTGCATTTTTACCTGGATCTTGTTGCATTCATATACATAGCAAAAACACATCCGATTTGGGCCAATTACAAATGGTAATGTTGAATATTGAACACTGAAAACGTCTCTGTTACGTATGGAACGTATGGTTCCCTGTCTTAATTGTTTAATTTTTTATAATGTATTACCTTCTTGTTGATCAAGCAGTTCACATTTACAACGCTGCGTGTTTGCTGCATAAAAACATGGGTTGATTTTGTTGTTCAGACACAGTGGTCTGAACAAAAACAGCAGACGGGTTTACTAAAAATGCAAATTCATTCTCAGCCAGCAGGTGGCGCTTTCGGAACGGCAGAAATACAGCGGTTTCCCCGGTAACCGTGGTAGACAAAGCAGCGCAGCAGCTGACTTTGAAACATGCAGCACTCATACTTATTCAATGAAATCACAGCCTTTTTAAGTTTAACCGTCACATTGAAGGGATAGTTCACCCAAAAATGAAAATTAGCCCATGATTTACTCACCCTCAAGCCATCCTCGGTGTGTATGACTTCCTTCTTTCAGACGAATCCAATCGGAGTTATATTAAAAAATGTCCTGGCTCTTCCCAGCTTTATAATGGCAGTGAATGGGTGTTATTTTTCAATAGTCCAAAAGAAGTCCAATAAAGTGCATCCATCCATCATAAAAAATGCCTCACATGGCTCCGGGGGGGGGGGTGACTAAAGGCCTCCTGTTGCGAATCAATGCGTTTGTGTAAGAAACATATCCATATTTAAAACTTTATAGACCGTAATCTCTAGCTTCCGCTAACTGTCGTACACGCGTTCATTCCAGCGGATGACGTAGGCGTAGCGTAAGCTCCGGTGAGAATATGCTAGTCTCGCGAGAACCGATGTTTGTTTACAAGAGCAAAGGAAGCAAAGTTTCCTTACTTTAGCAAAGAAAAAACAGTCTCCTCTTGGCTTTCTATATATCGAAATCCTCCGACGTTTTCTTCGTTTTGTACTTCTAATTCTTGACCAGTTTTTTGTTTTGCTCTCTCCACTTCTCACTGGATCTTACGCTACGTCCTTCGTCATCCGCTGGATATTTTAAGTTCTTTACAGAAAAACTTAAAAGAGGGAGTAATAGACATGATTTTTGCTTTAGTGCATACGACTGTTAGCGGAAGCTAGATTACGGTTTATAAAGTTTTAAATATGGATATTTTTCTTACAAAAACGCATCGATTCGCATCAGGAGGCCTTTATTCACCCCCCGGAGCCGTGTAGGACACTTTTTATGATGGATGGATGCTCTTTATTGGACTTCTTTTGGACTATTGAAAATAACACCCATTCACTGCCATTATAAAGCTTGGAAGAGCCAGGATATTTTTTTTTAAATATAACTCCGAATGGATTCGTCTGAAAGAAGGAAGTCGTACACACCGAGGATGGCTTGAGGGTGAGTAAATCATGGGCTAATTTTCATTTTTGAGTGAACTGTCCCTTTAAGCCATATCGCAATTCTTGTCTTTCCATCCCCAAATTTAAGACCTCCTGAAATCATGGTTAAGACTTTCTTGTACCATCTTGTAACAAGAGTTTTTATGGCCTTAAATGTAAGTCTTTTTAAGGACCCGTCAACTTTTCAAATTTTTGAGAATGCTGTTGTTTTTCACTCACTGAAAGTTTCATCTGTCTGCGCGCCGCTCCCTGCTCTCTTCTGACCGGAGCAACAGTGAACCGTAGTTAACCGTAGGACCAAACGGCTCTGCTGAGCTGACCTTGATGTGCTTGATATAAATGTGATTTTATTAGAAATTAGCGCTTGCCGTTTATTTATTTCGTTATATCAAAAGGCTTTGCTGTGTGATCCGTGTGAGCAGCGCTGCACGTCACTGACATTCATGTGATCCGGTCGAAATGTCTCAGAATCCAGCTGCAGCTCCTCTGGTTGTTTGTCTTCATGTTGTTGTCCTTATATGAGCTTCATTCACTGCAGGCTGATAGTTTGTCTGGATCTAGACCGTTCTCTTCTTTAATATTTTCTGGCCTGCAAACACTGATGAAACATGTAATTGTTTGTGATTGAGCTGAAAACTTAATTTTTTATTTTTTTTTAATGTGTGTGTGTTTATTTGGACTGTTGTTCTTTTCTCTGTTGTTCATTATGTTTGGTTGAGTTTTTTGGTAAAATTTTTTTCTAATGTTTTGTTTGTTCATTTAAAACAATTTAAAAGATTATTTCTATATTTTTATATATTTTATGTTTATGTACGTTATTTTATAAATTTCCTGAAAGGGAAAGTTGAATTTAAATAATAATAATAATAATAATAATAATAATGTTATTTAGTTCTTGTTCTTTTCTCTGTTGCTCAATATGATTTGGTTGATTTGAATTTTTTTCAAATTAGTTTGTTCATTTAAAATAATTTTACAGATTACAGGTTCACTAGTACTACTACTACTAATGTTATTAAGTGCGGGCCAGTCGTATCCCGCGGCCCAGCATGAGTCAGGGCTGTAGTCGTGACACCAGTCGGGAGAGTAGCAGAGACACCAGTCCGGCTCGAGGGTTCAGTCCGCTGGGTAAGAGCCCAAAACCAGACCAGACCAGACTCCTGCGCATGTCTTTACTCACACTTCACTTATCTGAATGGTTTTGGTTTTAGGAGTTTGGATCTAAATGTTTCTCTTTCACCTTTAATTTCCCATGAAACTAGGGCTGAATGATATGACAAAAATATATGTTAATATTTTTCGCTTTTTTATGATATTTTCATATACAGGTCAATATCAGTGTTATTTTAGCATCACTGAGATACTATTATAGTTTTAATAATTATTTTGAATGAGTTTTTTTTAATTTTCCATTTTAATTTTAATTCTAGTTTAAGTTTTAGTCATTTTGTTGTGTGTTTTTGTCATATTTCTTAGTTTTTTAAATGTCTGTATAGTTTTTTTAAATAGAAATTTTTAGTTACATTTTAGTTATTTTAATACATCAAGTTTAGCTCAATAAGAATACTTGCCTTGTCAGCTAGCTGAAATAAAATGATATTATATTACATTATATTATTTGTATATTTTTATATATTTTGTCATTTTAATGATTTTCTTAAATGGTGAATTTGAATATAAATAATAGTCGTAATAATACTGTATATTATGTTAATATTATTATTTATATATTTTACATATTTTTTCCTATTTTTTTAATCTTCTTGAAAGGGGAAGTTGAATTGAATTATTATTATTAATAAAATGACAAATTAGAATTTTTTTGTTTTATTTTATGATATTTTATTTCAGTTAAAATTTATTTCAAGTAACAAAAATGTTTTTATGGTTTTAGTTTTAGGTTTAGTGAAATATAATAAACCTGGTTATTATTTATGCATTTGTTCTGAAATAGTATTAGAATATTTGATAATTTAGATTTTAATGCACCAATATAACAACACATAAAACAACAGCATTATATCATCTACATATATATATTTACTGCATCTTAATACATAAGAAAACTATGACATAGAGACTTCATGAACATTTTGAACTTGATGGCCAATTTAAAAACCTATTAAAATTGTTGCTATATTCACAGTGTTGTCTAATTTAATATTGCCAGCTAAATCAATGCAAACATGTCATCCAGTCCTTCCTCAAACTCTAAAATCTAACCAGTTGATTTCATATATTTCCTTTCCTATAACTTCTCTTCCTTTCACTGTGTTTGTGAGTGTGTTAGTAAGCTAAAAAAGTTAGTAAGCTAAAAAAAGCTAACTTTTTAGTTAGTAAGCTAAAAAAAAGCTAAAACTGTCACGTGTCACCAGAAAAATTAGGTTTTGTTTCTGAAATGTGTGTGACCTAATCCTTCCCAGCATCCCACAGACACTCGCGCTCCACCAGCGCTCTGACAGCCGCTGGCGTCCTGCAGACAGGTGATTGCACGAGTCCGGGTCACGGCACCAGAATCCAGATCATCAGTGTTTTTAACAGGGCTCATGCTGAACCTGTTCAGAGGTGTATATATCAGTCACATCCAGGTTTAGAGCGAGTTTCAGCTGATTTAGAATCCTGTGTGATGAGCTCAAACACACGGTGGCGCCAGAGACCAGCTCTACATTCATTAATGAAGCTTTAACACTGAATCAAACCAGCTCAGTTTCCCTGGATGTGAACTAGACGCTTGTTTTGCACCTTCGTAACTTTTTGTTTCATTTATGCTTGCTATATTTTTGTGCTTTCTTTGTTATTGTGAAATGTGCTTTTTTAAAATTGTTTGTTTAATTAAATTTTGTTTTATTTTTAATTGTATTTATTTTTAGTGGAATATTATGTGAAGTTTTTATTTGTGTGAAAAAATAAATATGTATGTCTCATTTGCCATCATATAATTTTAATATACAGTGGGGACCAAAAGTGTAATAAATTATATTTTGTATTTTTCTAATTTAATTTATTAAAAAATGTCTAATTTAATTTATTAAAAATTACATTATTAAATTACATGCATTATATTTCTTGTCCATTTGACAACATTTATTTATTTATTTATTATTTCAGCCTTCTGATGATATTCATATGCAGATCAATATCAGTTTGTATTAATATTTAAAATTATTTTATATTCTTATATTTTAATTTTAGTTAACATTTTAATAATTTTGTAATGTGTTTTTGTCATTTTTATTAGTTTTTGTTTTTTACTTACATAGTTTTTATTAATTTTTATTCAGTTTTAAATTTAGTTATTTTAGTACATCACGTTAAGATAATTGAAAATTTTAAATTATTTAGCTGAAATAAAATAAGTTTTTCTATATTTCATTTTATTTCAGATAATGATTTTTTTGAAGTAACGAAAATGTTTTTAGTTTTAGTTTAATATTTAAATTTTAATATTTATTCATTTGTTTTGTAATTGTTTTTATTTATTTATGTAATTCATGCATTCGTTCAAAATCCTAAAACTTTTTATTTCTGGGCTTTTTATTTCCAGGTTTGAATAATTAATCATTTGAATTAGATCTGAATCATACATTTTCAGCATTATTTCAGACTGTTGGACTCCGTTGCATATTTGTGTTTAATTTAGAAAGTTCTGCTGTTGTTTTGACTGATGTTGTTTCATCAGTTTTCTGTCATTTCTTGATTTGTTTTCTTACATGCAGAATTTTGTTTGCATTATTTTCAGTCAAATCAATCTTTGTGGTTGTGTGCTGTGATGCTGATGAATGAAAAGCATGCAGTGACTGTGTTTAGTTTTACTTGACATTGATGTTGCATGTTATGTTATTAATCTCTCTCTCCGTCTCTGTCAGATCGGTTCGGTCTCATCCATCAGGCGCGGATCTCGGCGTCTGTAAACGCCATGCGGATCCTGAACACGGGCACGGAGGTGGAGGCGGCCGTGGCAGACGCTCTGGTGAGAATCACGTCCTCAATCTCCAGTCTGTCTGTCATCTGTCAGCATATTCCTGAAGTGTTTGTCTATACTTTCCCTCTGCGTTTGTCTGGAAACCCTTCAGCTTTTAGGCGACTCCAGGAATAAGGTAGTAGATTTATGGACACCTGATTGTGTGCATTCTGCTCTCAAAATGTTCATCATCATTTCATTTGATTTGTAGTTTCTTTAATGATTCAATCATGCCTGCGGCATTTCATACAAATGTATAATATAAGATGAAAATGTCACAATGCAAAGAAGTCATAACGGTCCTAAAAATTAGCCTTCATTTTCTCAGAGAAAAATATTTTCACTAACAGTCAAAAGTTTGGGGTCGGTAAGATTTTTAAATATTTTTGAAAGAAGTCTCTTCTGCTCCTTAACACTAGAACCACCAGAGGTCGCTGTATACCTAAAAGCGCCAGCGGGTAAATTTTACCCACGCACATGACAACTGTATTTATATGGCTAAAGAACATATTATTTCACTGTATTATGCCGCTGTCTTCACAAAGAAGTGTCTAGAGTCATGAAATGATTATGTCTAGTCATCAACTATATTTTTATCCTGTTGTTTTATCTTCAAGACTTTTTAATGCAGGCTACACTAATCCATAACAGGTCAGTAGCCTAAGCTAAAAAAAAAAAAAAAGCCTGCACTGACA